ATAACAAGTATTGAAGAAGTACGCTCGGATGATGATGAGGCAGCGGCCCGTTCACATGACTAACGGCATGAAATACAGTAGGAAGCTTTTCATTGATCCCGGTCATCCTGGAGACTAAGCGAATACCAGAACACGGTTAACCTGAATCGTATTGATCAAAACGACCAAAACGAAAATGTACCTTGGCGAAGTTTTGTTGCATTCATCCACTTGCAATAACATCTCATTTGATTACCAGCTGCTACTACTAACGTTCCGCTGCTTGCCCAAGAAATAGCTGACACCGACCGACACATCGTACTTTTGAATTTTAAGAGTAGCCAGAAATTCGACGACCGTTATATAAGAGGAATATGCAAACGATATATCGCAAGGGAAAGAGAAAGTTAACGTCAGTAGACGTGAGATGCTACCAAAGTATTATAGCAACATATCTTACAGTGGTATCTGAATATCAGTTAATGCGATCCAGCATTCTCGCACTAGAGTGTCAAGCTTACGGAGTCGTGTATAGATTGTTATCTTCTGAGCAGATGCAACCGCCAAAACGAGCCCTCCACACGAAGTGTATAGCCAATCGACATCGATTATCGTCTCGCTATATGGGCAGCAATAGTATTTTTAGTGGGAGAGAAACGAGAACGGGCATTGATGATCAACAAACCAATATACACGAGTGGTCGAAAGCACAAACCTTGACTCTATAACATATTCCTTCATCGATGGCAAGCGAGGAGTTATAGCTTCCCAGATGCTAACCTTATCTCTTGCTTTGTTTACTACCAAGTTCATATACATTATCACAAATATATTCATACATACCACAATCTAATCACAATACGCATCGACATCCTACCCGTCCGACCCTCTTTCTCTATAATCTCTCCAAACAACACTTACCTAATGCAACCTTGTCTTCGGGCCCGCACTTAATCTTCCATATCCCTTCTTGATCCTCACTCTTGAGCCTGTAACTCTCTTCCCACAACTTGCCTTTCTCTCTTTCAGCCTTATTCGTGACGCTTAACTTGCATCTCCAATATGTAATTCGTCCCGTGGAAGAGCATGTCAAGAGGACGGGCGGATTGCAGTCAGGTGGATATGTGTTGCATTTAGAATATGCTCCGGCCCATTGATTAACCGAGACGGCATGGGTAATAGCTAAGTGTGAAGAAGAATACAAGCAAGTATGGGATATAAAATGGATAGAAGGATCCGGCCGATCTTCAGGTTTAGAGTTGAGGACGAGAAAAATATTAGCCGCGATGCGAAATGGATGTAGATATTGCTAAATATAACTGACAAGCGATAATTTTACATTTACTCATTTCGCAACCCTCCTCTTACCAGAAAATTCTACTCGCCAACAAAATATGCTGCCATCTAATAAGCTGACTCCAGCAACATGCGACACAGAGCTCGGTGTTCCATTACGCATTTGGGGAAAAGCAAACAATAGACTGAGTGGGTACGCCGGATCATAACCATCGAGAACGGATAACTGGACTGAATGTCCGTCGGCAGTGCCACAGAAAAAGAGAACAATTTGGGATCCATCATATGCGGCCAAAAGTCTTCCTATATAC